GGAAGGGAGAGGGTATGAAACATGGGGGACTTGGGGGAAGGGGTGAGGAGAGTAACATAAAAAAATATTTTCCGAAAAAAGTTTTACACTCACCAAGCAAGTAAAAATAAGTGATAAAACCACTCGTTTTCCGTATATTTTCCATGGAAAGCATTTTCCTTCGTACCAAACACACCCTTAGTTTGGGTTAATTCTCTTTACTGGAGTATCTTCTTTAATAAGGTTTTTTTTTACAGTTAACAGTACATTTTAGCTAGTGTTCTAAAGGACTGAGCTTGCTTTCTGCTTGTCTTTTTTGAATTTTCCTTATAAAGTGACCAACTTTGACTAAATGCTATTGCACATTTGACATTCATTTGGTAGTCCATGGTTTGCCCTAACAACTGGTAAAGTTTGCAGCTTTTGAATACATTATTAAAAAAAGGCAACTTCCTCTCTCGCTTTGTTCCACTAACCCATCAACACAATGATCTTCCTCTGCCTGCCCCATGGCACTCTACTTAGATTAATTGGAATACTTGTCTAAGTAATTGACACATTGTACAGCGTGATCGCATTAATCACTTAGTTCCAAATAATAAGACAGACAGACCTTCTTTCTATTTGTACCACAGTTCAATCAACTAACGTTAATTGGGAACGTTAATTGGGATAGATGGTTTACCTAGCAGCGGGAAATGCACAGACCTTTAAAAGTCGGAAGAATACAAAATTTGACTGTTAGAGATATAATCCTTGGGGAGGTTTGAGAGTTGGTTGAAATGATTTTTTTTCCCTTGTTACTCTTGGCAATCTAAATTACTGAAAAGAACCATTATCTTTACAGGAAAATGGAAAACTTGAACAATATAAGTTGGCTCCTGAAGGAATCAAACAGGCAGAATTGGCTGGAGAGTTATTCCTAAAGGTTGGTATTCCCATTGAATTCTCAATTTTTGGTTTCCCAAAGTAGTCCTTGGCAGACATTTCATGATTCAGATGTTCCACCTATCTAGATATGGAGTTACGTGAACCATAATTGCTGTCGGCCATTGCTTTCCCTAGTTATTTTTAAGCATTTGACTGTGTATGGTGTTGTATGTCCTGGAATCCTATCACCTACCTCTTTTTGATGCTCAGAAACTTATTATATTCCAGTGAAATCCCTTGTGATTTTACAATGCCTCTGTACTAAAAAGTTTGGATGCTAGATCCATGTCCATTTCTCATTATAAGAACAATCATTGTGATGTCATAGTTTTCAAGTTAGCATAACTTCCTCATCCAAGGTAGACAGTATAATGAGGATAAGGAGATGGTGACATGTTAAACAACTGGAAACTCAGTTCACATGTGAACAGTCTGTTTCTTTTTCAGTGTCAAATCTTGGATAAAGTTGGAGGGTATGTAGTGGTTGAAAGAAAAATCTAAGCATCTCAGAGAAAGTGAACTAGTATTACCAAGCGAGTGTTCATAACAAGTAAATGATGAGTTCTATCTTCAGCAATAACATGATTCACATAAGCAAAAGAAAAGGTTTTAACCAAAACCGTCTAAGTAGAAGAGCAGGAAGAGAAAAGTGTTTTCTGAAAGGACCATGTATGGGCTTCTATCCCCTTAAACATTATCATGTGGAGGCTCACCTTTTGTCAAACTAAATGCTTTCTCCAGTTGTGAAATCATGTTTCCCTAGAGGCTTAGAGTTGAAACAGCCAGTTTATCTCCATACTTTATGGCTACTAACAGAGTCTCCCGATGATTAGCACCTTGATGTATGTATTTCTGTTTGCTGCCCTTCAGTTGAAGATAGGTAAAGAGAGACTGTCGTATCGTTCCTGATTCTGAGTAATTGCATATTAGTTACTTTTTTTGAGCTAAAAAGGGTCTATCTCTTCTCTATAAGCTTAGTTTAATGGTGTTTACAGGCAATCTGTTTTCTGATAACAGGTACTGAAAGAAGATGAAGTACCACTTGAAAATGTTCGAATCTGCTACTCTCCCTTCTCGAGGACCACTCATACTGCACAAGTGGTTGCATCTGTTCTAGATATTTCTTTTGAAGGACCGCAGTGTATGGTAAATCTTATCCGTCCGTCACAGGGACATATAGGCACTCTTGTAACCTCTTTTTGTATATTTTATTATCTAAGTGTTATCATGGTACTTTTGTTTGAAGAGGTACTTGAGATAATCAATTCATAAAGCTCTGATCACTGTTATTAGAACCCATGACATGAATAGAGTGTAAAAGTAGCAAGGACCTGGCAACAAAGTCATTTCATAGGCTGAAATCTCGTTTTGTCCTGTTGATATAAGCCATTCAGTTGAGAAATGCTCATGTAAATAGCAAGGATGAACTGTTTGGTCTATATCTCTTTTTCACCGGGCATCATGTCTTCCTTAAATGCACATTTCTAGATTTATATGCTTAAACTGAATTGCTATGTACTTTTCCTTCTGGTGATGAATTTGATTTAGCTGCATAACTTTTCATCTTTTATATCATTTTTCTCCTGATGCACTCGAGCCAATCAACACTAAGCCTAAAAAGCTTTTTGAGTGTTATATAAGGTAAAGCTCCATTTCCTTTTTCCCCTCTGCCTTTCCTGTCACGGTGAGATGCTTCTAACCTAAAACAATTGATCGATTGGTCTGTTATGATTTTGGCTTTAAGACAAGAATAGATTCTGCTGATAAGCTCTGAGTTCAGACAATTTTGTTATTACAGGTTCTAGAAGATCTTCGGGAGCGTTTCTTTGGTCCTTCATATGAACTTAAGTCTCATGATAAAGTGAGTTGTTATTTGTTCTCTGCATTTCAAAATCAAGTGGATCCTCAACATTTATAAGCATCTGCACTTGGTTTGTGGCTCTCAGACTGATTAATTATTTCTGATTTCAGTATCCAGATATATGGGCTCTAGATGAGAAGGATCCATTCATGCAGCCTGAAGGTGGAGAAAGTGTTGCAGATGTAGTGTCTAGACTCACAAGTGCATTGATTAACATGGAGTCACAATTTCGAGGGTAATGTTGTGCTTTTAAGTCCAACATTAATCATGTATTTTTTTAGTGCTAATGAGGGTTGCTTATTCTTTTTAACAAGTGAAGGAAATTTTGCATGGCAGTAGAATCACAGTTCATGCTTAAATTCAAGATTCTCCTAGTGTTTCACATATTCCCACTAATGAGGAGACCATAAGCCTATAATTGCATTTTCATGATATCTGATGGACTTATAAGTAACGATTGTGGATTGCAGATGCACAGTGTTGGTGGTCAGCCATGGTGACCCTCTGCAAATTTTCCAGACGGTACTAAATGCAGCTAAGAATTACAAAGGATCCTGTGAAAATGACTTGACCTCAAGAATACAAGCAGTCAAAATCCCTTCTGTTCTGTCGCAGCACCGGAGGTTTGCTCTACAAACAGGAGAATTGCGCTCAGTAGTATAATCCACAGCTTGAGCTGCACATTCTGTCAGCTCGTGCTGTTATTCTTCTCTATACATTCTGAATCCCCTTTCTAATTTATCTATGTCTAGGGATAATAATTTGGTTTTAACAAATATTTAAAACTAATGAAGTATAAACCGAATAAGGAAACGGCAGAATATTCAATTTGCAATCTCCTTTGCTAGGGAGGTGAGCTGCTGTAAGAGTACATTCATTGGAGAGCTTTTCTAATTATCTGGAATCTTTTTGGTTCTCCCTACCCCACCCCGGAAGAGTACTGAGTCAGTCAATATGAGGGGAAATTTATACTTTTAACCTTATAGTTCTATGTTGGCCTACGGATGATAAACATGTTAAGAAAGAAATCAGAAGATCGTTTCTCCATTCTAGATTTATCTTCCCAACTCTTGGCCGCATGACCTTTATGTATTAAACCAATTGCCTCCTGTTCCAGTAATGGCTTTTCGTCCTTGATGATTGGGAGATATAAAGATGGAGATGAAGTCAGAACAGACTCTTCCATTTCTTATTTGCAACAATCTTANATATATATATATATATATATCAAGAGAGAGAGGCACTTCGTGTCCAAAATATAAATGGTTAGTAGTCCTGTTTAAATTTCTCTACCTGAAATGCCATGTTTTGCTACCAAAGAATCGCTTAAATCACCCATTCTCTATTTACATGCTGGAGTTGCTTAAACATACTGGACGCTGTTCCCTTACGGGCTACGAGAGCAAATCTACAATTACAGCAAATCTGCTTTTTGCTTTTTCGGATATGCAGAGTCGTTGCGTTAGATGCGTTATTGACTATATTAAATTCAGCATTAGTAATACTATGTCTGATTGCGATTTTAATCTCTGTATTGATAATCCTTGCATTACTTTTAATTTCAATGCGAAATAGCAAAACATTTATCAGCAACAGATTACATGATGCCTTTTGAAATTATTACTTGTTTAGTTAATCATCTTTAATTATGTTTCATTTGCTTTTGATAATGTTTATAATATTGACTCTATAATCACTAAAGAATCTTAACAAAGAAAAATAAAGGAGAATTGCATGATTCGTTAACTAACTTTTATTATTTATCTCATATTATAGTATAACTCACTGTAATTTTCATCATAAAAGTATTGCTTGTTTGACATAATTAAAAATTGAGAAATTTAAGTTTTATCTTATTCACACAACAATAAAACCAAGTTGTTAGATAAAGCAACTAATATACGCTAAGGGAATTATTTGGAACAATTATTTCTCCAATTTAAGACCAGATGCAAGTTTTAAATGTACATTGTATATCAATATTTTAATGTGATGAACTGAATGTCTAAACAAATACAATATTCTAGTGATAATTATTCATCCTATAATACTACATACACCTTTAACAATCCATGCATTACAATTCTAGTATAACTTGTGCACGAACGAAATGACTCCTTGGTACTCCGACCATACACCGGTTGCTCAAGCCTCTTCTTAAATCGCTAAAAGCACCTCACTTTCAAGTCACCAACACTAATAGCAGTGAGGCTAAGGTCATACTCAGCAATTGGAAACTGGATAATGAGATGACGGCCTTAGATTCTACAATTAGCGGCTGCAAATAAAAAAAGGAGGAGGAAAAAAGACTGCTGTTATAAAACGAGGCATGCTATATTGTATCATAACATAAAGCAGACTAACATCTTGACCAAAAATGGATGACAACCACTGATACCGGCAGGTTAGACGCTTTATATCTTCAACTGACGTCTTATATTTATTTCAATAATCTCACCCAATTACAAAAGGTAAATGTTGAACATTTCCCAAATTCCTAAAGGAATCATTTCCTTTCTATTGTTCTTCTCCTTGCATGCCAACAGGGAAAGAGCATCAGACATATCTGTCAAGGATAGTAATGGTGATTAACTCCATCGGCATGCGAGACAAGCCTAAGAGTTTGGAAGGGCAGTCATCCAAATAACTACGGTCATCCGAATGAATAACACAACCTTCAGTAACAAGTCAGGGGCGGCCCAAGGGTCAAACCACTTAAATTTTGAGGGGCCCAAATTTTTCTTTTGTTTTTCTACTCTTATTTGTAGTGAGACCCCGACTAATCTAGATTCGTACCGCGTAAGACCTAGTAAAAGAGAGAACACGTTTTAACAGGATTTTTTTTAACCACAGGACTCGAACCCAATATATTTAATTAAGGTAAGTTGGATCAAATACATCTCACAACAATCTTTAGAGGCAGGGTCTAAATATATTGGGTATGTTAAAATAAAAAATAAAATATTTTATAAAAATTCAAGATAACTTTTAATTTAGTAGTGATGTAACCGTTTGAGCAAAAAATGCAGAAAGAGAATCACTCCCCCTAAACCCTTGTCGCGAATATAAAATTTTTCATTATTTAAATTTTACGAGTGACATCATTAGTGAGGTATCTATATGAATTTGGTTCTATTATCTAAGATCAACAATATCTTAAGAGAGACTAAATTATTTATAAAAGAAACTATTAATAACTGATGTTAGGCCAAAATTCTATATTTTTAGCACATTACTCGCCCTATATTTTGTTGGTTTAAGTGAGTTATTGTGCGACAATTGCGCTAAATTGTGTTGTTCTATGTGTAGGAACATCGGAATAAATCATATCGATGTTATGATAAAAAAAAAATTTCCTTCTAAAAGGCCCCAAATTAAAAATTTGCTTTAGGCCACCAATCTTCTTGGGCCGCCCCTGCAACAAGTGAGCTTTATCGTTTTGTGGCTTCAAGGCTCAAGCAGACTATTAAATGGGAAGACTTCCAGCAGACAATAAGTGGGGTTTATGGGTTCACCACTCAAAGAGGACGAGTAAATGCTACCAGAAGCCACCTTTTCTGAAGAACCTCTGAATGGACTTCAGATGGAAATCTCTCCCATCTCTACAACAGATACCAATTGGCGGAATGCAAAATGAAAGGCAGTATCACAAAGACAAGTAGATAATGAAAGGACTCACTGCAGTAGATAAATTGGTTGATATCAAGAGTCACTCGGCCTTGCTTGCTTGTGTCAAATGAATCAAAAAGGTTCCTGCAAAGATCAAAAGTATTATTAAAGTTTTTGCTAAGAAGTTCAGCACTGAACTAACATCTAAGAACTATTGGAATTGCAGCTCCACTGAATCACATTTTAACCTCATCAAGACCTACAAATCTTTGTAGTTGAAATGAATGTCTAACTCAAACATTAATTGACGTCTTAACCAAGAATCCTTCCTAAGTAAGGAAGACGCCAGTGACTCAATTTCAAAGTGACAGATATAAAACAAGTGTTCCTCATCATATACATCGATCATGAATATTATAAATGCAAGCGACAACCATCTCATGTAAATAAAGATCTACTCACCGTGCAGACTGTACAAAGATACAAAGAGATATGAAGTCATCAAGTCTGAATTTTCCATTCTTGTTCCTATCAAAACTCTGCAGAATTTACCCCGAAAAGGAATTATATCAGTTCAAAAGCAGAGGACTAGAAAGAACTTTTTTCACCCTCAAACCAATTAACATACAATGTATCACGTGATATTCCACATGCGTATCTTAGTTGCAATAAGAATATGTCATCCTGCGAGTAACCCTCCACGTGAACAACCAAATTGAGTGCCCCTGACTGCATGGCAATACAACTATACAAGGTGTAGTAATGCACCCAAGTGTGTGGCCTAGTGGTCAATGAAGTGGATGAGAACCATGAGGTTTCGGGTTCAAATCTCAGCTAAGGCAAAAACACTAGGTGAGTTACCTGGTACCTGTTGCTGGTGGGAGGTATCTTGTGGAATTACTCGAGGTGCGCGCAAGTTGGCCCGAATACCACGGTTATCCAAAAAAAAAAAAAAAAGTGTAGTAATGAAAATCATTAAGCTGTGTTATTTTCTTCCCTGAACTGTAAAGGCGGAGAATTAAGCTATGTTTTACCATAGCATTTTATCATCCTACTCTCATGAACCTCAAAAAAGAGAAAAACCAAAATAACAATTTAATGAAGTTTGTGAGTATTTGCTCGTTCATTCTGACCATCTGCCACAACCCACACCATAATCATCACAATCAGCGTTATGACTATGGTTTGCAAGCCATTAACTAAAACCTTTTCGCGTACTCTCTATCCTTTTAACACGTTTATAATACCACCAAGTCATTATAAATGCAAAAAAAAAGAAAAAGAAAAAGAAAAAGAAAGACAAAGCTCATTGGGCTTTAAGCGAAAAGCGATAAGCAAAGGGCACTTCTATTTCAGTTTCTTCTAATCCATACTGCTAGCTTCAATTAAAATATAGTTTAACCAAATACATGTCAATAGGAACTCCATGCCTTTATTTACGATTTTCTTCTCCTCTACGAATATGGTTTAAACAACTAAAACGAATAAACCAAGGGTACTTGAACAAATTTAATGCTTTTTTCTAATGGAATAGCAAAAAGGAACATGATAAATGATGCTTTTTCTGATATATGTCATTTGGTTGTCGAATTTTATTTAAAACCAGCTACTTCATTAGCTTTTGTTTTGATGATGAAACAAAGGTATGAGCTACATGAGAAAATATGCAATGTAGGTAAAACGAACAGCATGTTCAGTTTCATTGGTGCTTTGAGAATAAGATACTACATAGTGTAGGCCTCAAGGAATTTTCATAACACACATTAAGTCCATTGAATGAGATATTTCTGCATCCCACTTCACAAAGAACAATATCTACTGAATCTCATAATGAATTCTATAACAATTATAGTACCTCGCACACAGTGTATAATGCTGGAGAGTCGAGCTGGAATCCTATTTTTATCAACGCCTGCAAATGATGCAACAATTTCATTGATAGATTATCGTCCGTTGCAAATAAACGGGCTGTTAAAGACCATTTGGCAGTCCAAGCATTCTTTCCTCATTTTCCTCGCCATAAGAAGGTCTGAGCTGTAGTAATAAGCAAACACAATAAGGCAGAAGGAGTTTGAGATTAAGGATTTCTTGCCTCGTAAACATCATCTGGAACAAGGAATCCACGACCCCTAATTCAATGACCAAAATAATATAAGAATTAACTTCCTAAAAATATATTTCCAAATTCCAACCAATGACACGATGAAGTATTAGGGGACTCAAAGTGTACCATATTAACAACAGAAACCAAAGTAATAAACGGGAATAGCTTTACCAAAAAAGAAATTCACCTCTCCAAGTCTGAGAACACATGTTGCACCTACAAATGATAGATTGATGGTTCATATAAATCAAACAATTGAAAACCTTTGAAAGAACACAACTTAGGAAAACATTTTATGAAGCATCTACAGGAAAAGAAGAAAGACACCATAGAGTTCATGCAACACTAAGTATTTCGTTCTAGTGCTGCCAAGATGAGGTTGTGCAACTATTGCCAAATGCTGTGTATGAGAAAACACAGCAAGGTGCCACTCAAATCACATGCAAATTGCATATAGAAAGACCAGTTAATGTTTTTGAAAAAAACAAATAGACAAAAAATGTAACTTGGGAAGAAAGCTGACCTTCAGCAGAAACTTGTTAAGTTCAACAAACTCTGGCAAACAGAAATTAGATTAATAACAGTCTGAGAATCTCAATGGAACAATTATTAAACATAAACTCAATTGCACCAAAATAAAGTAAAGAAGAGCCTAAAGTAGATTGAACAGCAGCTTAGCACCGGGGATCTAGACAATGCTTTGATATATCTCATGCCTGGAGAGTCGGAAGCAGTAGCTGCAATTAACAATCTCCCCCTCTCTTTCTCTCCCATTATATATAAAAGTAAGAAAAAGGGAATTATATGTTAAGGTTAAGTTAACATTTCATATATGCTCATTATGTCTTTTGAAAATTCTCCTTCCTAGTCTACCTTATAAAAAAAAAGGGCAGCCCAGTGCACTAACCACTAAGCTCTCGCTATGCGCGAGGTCCAGGGAAGGGCAACATCTTATATTGATTTCGTTTTTCTTGTATCGTTTTCCTTGTAGACATTACCACTCTCCTAGCTCAAAGCACATATGTGTTTGCTTTTCTCTATTTCTCTTTCAATGTTACTTCCAGGCGTCCAAGTTTTATAATGATCTTAAGGGGTCGTTGGTACGCGGGATAAAGTGGGATAAGGTGGGATTAAGTGTGGTACTAAATTTATACTATGTTTGGTTGACGGTATAAATTTATCCCGGGATAAATTTATACCTCCAATACCTCCAACCAAACATAGTATAAACTTTGTCCCAAACTTAATCTTGGATATTCCATCTTATCCCACCTTATCTCATCAAACTTGCTATTATTTTATCCCACCTCCCAGGAGGGATAAATTAGTCTAGGGATTATAATCCTAGGACTATAATCCAGGGATAATTTAGTCCGCGTACCAAACAACCCCTAAGGATAGGTATGATGGAGCTAAGACTCGGGTAAGGACAATGGAAGACGACTTGGAACATTTTCCGGTAGGGATGGGGTTACACCAAGGATCTGCTCTCAGCCCGTTCTTATTTGCTTTGGTGATGGATACACTGACGCGTCATATTCAAGGGGAGGTGCCTTGGTGTATATTATTTGCTGACGATACTGTGCTGATTGATGAGACGCGAGGCAGTGTCAACAAGAAGTTGGAGGTTTGGAGACAGACCTTAGAGTCTAAAGGTTTCAAGTTGAGCAGAACTAAGACGTAGTACTTAGAGTGCAAGTTCAGCGACGAGACGAGGGGAGCGGACATAGATGTGAGACTTGGTTCGCAAGTCATCCCTAAAAGAGGAAGTTTCAAGTATTTTGGGTCAGTTATCCAAGGGAACGGGAAGATTAAGGATGTCACACACCGTATAGGGGCAGGGTGAATGAAAGGGAGGTTAGCATCCGGCATCCTGTGTGACAAGCAGGTGCCAACAAAACTTAAAGGTCAGTTCTACAAAGCGGTGGTCAGACCGACAATGTTGTATGGGCAGAATGCTGGCCAGTCAAGAACGCCAATATCCAAAAAATGAACGTAACGGAAATGAGGATGTTGCGATGGATGTACGGGCACACTAGGTTGGATAAGATTAGCAATGAGGATATTCGGGAGAAAGTGGGTGTATCCCTACGGAGGATAAGATGCGGAAAACGAGATTTAGATGGTTCATGCATGTGAGACGGAGAAGGCTAGATGCTCCAATGAGGAGGTGTGAATGGTTGGTGCTAGCAGGTAGGAGAAAAGGTAGAGGGCGACCTAAGAAGTATTGGGAAGAGGTAATAACGCAGAACATGACGCGGTTGTTGTAGCTTACCGAGGACATGACACTTGATAGGAGGTTTGGAGGTCGAAGATTAGGGTGGAAGGGTAGTAGGTCGGAGTGTGTTTCTCTGTACCGTTTCGGGTTTGTTAGGGCTAGCCGGCTAGTACCTGTCGTTGTTTCTTAGAGGGCTAGTGTTAGGGTGGTTTTTAGTGCTATCTTCCGCTTAGGTTTTCTAGTACCTTGTCGTTGTTACTGCTTGACTATTGCTATTGTTGTTGCTATTGCTTTTTTCCACCTATTTTTCCGGTTCATACATTATTGGTTGCATTTTCCTGGCTTGTTGTTGATATTTACCTGTTTCTATTCTTCCTCTCGAGTCGAGGGTCTTTCGAAAACAGATTCTCTACCCCAAGGGTAGGGGTAAGGTCTGCGTACACATCAGGGGCGGCCCTTCCATAAAGCAAGTAAAGCAACTGCTTTAGGCCCCACATTTATAGGGGGGCATTTTTTGTTACACCTAATAGGCTATGTATAAGTTTAAAAAAATGTTCTATGAAGAGAAAAAGTTTGATTTCTTTCTTTAACAAGTATAGAGAAAAGGATTTGCAACTGCTATGATTTCTGCCAAGAAAATTACACTTGAAATGAATATCAAACCCGAATTTCGTAAGAAACGTATGATATATAGGAAGTAACAATTTGATAAGAATGTTGATAATAAAATCTCAAAATCTTTCGAAGGGTCCTTTGGAATTTATTACTTTATAAATAGTAGACAAGGCTATTTTTTTAACTTCAAAATAGATTTGAACAATTCGCAACATATGAAAATATATTTGATTTTCTATTTAGCGGTAAAAATTAAGATCACTAGATGATGAAAATTTGAAAAAATATTGCCTTAATCTTGAATGTTCCTTAAAGCATAATAATCAATTCGATATTGATGGTTTAGATTTATTTTCGGAATTAAAAATATTAAGAAAAATAGGATAATTAGAAGATAACAGTTTAATTGATACACTTGGTCAAATAAAAAAATTTGATTCTTTTATATCACTTATGGAAAATTGTAATGACTCTTGTTTCCGTCGTTTCAGCGGAAAGAAATTTTCAAAATTAAAATCGATAAAATCTCACATAAGATAAACAATGTCTCAATAAAGATTAAATGGATTAGCTATATTATCAATTAAGAAAGACTTATTAGGAGTTATTGATTATAAGAAAATTACTAATAACTTTGTATCTAAGATAAGAAACGCTAGAAAAATAAACTTCAAATAAATAAATATTTTTTTTTTGTTTAAAGTTAGGCCTCTCGTAAAGTTTGGCTTTAGGCCACAAAACTCACCAGGCCGCCCCTGGTACACATTATACTCCCCATACACCACTTGTGGGATTCCACCAGGTTGTTATTGTTATTTGAGATTACATCACTCTGATTGAGAGAATTTCTATAAATAAACAAAAAGCATAAAACTCATGAAACTCTATTAACGAGAGTAGAGAGACAATCAGCAAGAGATCATCCTCACCTTCAAAACTCATTGTTCCATTCCTGTCAAAATCATACATCCTGAAAATTGATATAAAATGGAAGAAATAAAGCTACAATTGGTAAAGACCTGTGTAGTAATTATTTGGATGTTATTGTCTCGTAAGTTAATACAAAGAGAGAAAAAAAAAACCTGATCATTTGCTGGACAACAGAGATAGGAAATTCTAAATTTCCAATCGCAAAAGCACTCTGAAAGGTAACGATCCCAAACAGGGCCGCGCGGTACATATATGGTATAAAAGGAAGGCGTCAAGTTCAGTAACGGAGTACGTAAAACGGAAGGCTTATTTCTACGAGACCAAAACAGACCTTGAGTTGAATAGCAGTGACGCTGCCGATTTTCTCCGAGTCGACCCGATCGAACCACTCTCTCAGAATCGCCGAGCTTTCCATTTTCCTCTGCTGCTTCCGCCTTGCTCCGCAATCCTACTCCTTGCTCACCGAACACAATGCCCTTTTATTAATTGCACTTTTCATCCTTCATTTATTCGCAAATTGTAATTTTAGTTCTTATAATAGTTCACTATATATAGGTTGACTCTAAATTAATTACAACGTGTGTGTTTTGACCCGTTAAAAATATTTAGATTGTTTTTTTAAAAATATATTTGTATTACCTTGTTGTAAATTTAAAAACGAATATATTATTAAATTTTAAATGATTCATATTCATACATTTATTTATTGAGTAAAACTAATACGACAATGTTTCAAAGGGCGAAGGCATGAGACTAATGGTGTTCTAAACCGAACCGAAATCGAAAACCGAACCGAAACCGAAGCTTAATGGCTTATTGATATCGGGTTAACGGTTTAATGGACGGGGAACGGATTGAAAATTTTTTATTAACGGCTTATCAGTTTGGGGGCGGATTATTTAATTTTCTTAACGGATAATCCGTTAACCCGTTAAGAATATATATAATTTTTATTTTTATCCATATATATATATTAAATAATCAAAAACCCTTCTTCCACTTCCAGTACTCTATCTCTATTCTCTATTACTAATTTACTATTACACATTTAGAAGCCCTAACGCCTAAATTTCAACCAGTAGCCACCAACACTCTATCTCGTCGACTTCCAGTACTTTATCTAACGCCAAAAATATATATAATAGTTTAGCCACACAAATTGGTTTTAATTAAAATTTGAATCCAAAGTGACTAATTTTGTAATTGTTTCAAGCCCATCCCTTTAGAAGCCCAATTTTCATGACCTGCCTGGCCCAACCGGATCTCCCATCTCTTTAAAACACTCATTTTTCCAAAACCTAAGAAAAAGACAGACGGATCCCCCTTTGAAAATCCTAGCCGCTTGGTCTCCTTCCTCGCTCACCCATTCTCTTTCACGCAAAAGGAAGCCGAGAATTCGCCATCATGCACACACATCTCACCTATGAAAAAAGTTAGAATAAAATCCCTGAATTCCCATTTTTCTACATCCGGATCTGAAGAAGAAAAACGAAAAAAAAAAGATTAAAAAGGTTTTCTGACTTCTGTTGTGTTACTTGGAGAATTTATGGGTTTCTCATTTGTTTTTGGATTGAAGTTGAGGTCGACATTGTTGTTCTTCTGCTGTTTGCTATCAAAATCGTAGTTGAACTTCCTTCATCTCTATTTCTGCCTTTATCAGTTGTTTCAAGCTCTATTTGTCAAGTATTTTAGGTACACATTCCTGAATCTGTACTATTTCTCCATAAAAATGACTGAAATCATGAATGAATTTGTTTCTGATGTTCCATCTCCATTTATGTGACTATTTTTCTTAATAAATTGTTAATTAGACTTATATATGATTTTGTTAACGAACCAAAGGGATGGCTGCCCATTTCAATTAAGTTTAGACCGTTGGAGTCTTGTTAAATATTAGTTAATTGAGTTTAGTTTTTTATTTTATTTTTCGGAGTTGTTAATGGGCTTTAGGTGTATGCATACTAGTTAACAGTAGTATTTATCACAATCTCTATTTCGTTGCCTAATGTTGAAATTTGGTGTATGCATATTTTTTACAGGGATCTACTCACTTATGGATTAAGCTGATGTTTGAACTTTGAAGCTGCAGAAATTCAAGCACTGTTAGGCGTTAGCTGCATGACAAACATTTTTGTGTAGTCTGCTCACTTATGGATTAATCATTTTGAAGTATGTATTCTGGACTCACTTTGAATATAGACTCGAATTTTATCATTTCAGAATTAATCAGGGAGCATTGAATTTTCCTTTGCAGTTGTGGGCGGAGGAAAGACATATGTATTCTGGACTTATCTGTAATGTAGTTTGCTTTGGGATGTAATGGACTCATCTATTGTATTCTATAGACTGGAATGTAGTCTGCTGAGCATAGGAATTTTAGTTTGAGTCACAATGGTAAGCAAACAATTAATGCACGCAATATAGATTGAATTAGGCCGATAAACCGCTCGATAAGAGCTAAACCGATACCAATCCGCCCGATATCTTATCGGGTGGCTAGCGGATTAATATATTTAAAAGCCGATAACCGATAAGCCAAACCGTTAAGAGTAAATCCAATCCGCCCGATAAGCAGCCCTACATGAGACGATGCATTTAACCTTATATGAAGCGCATTTACCATAAAAACAACAACAACAACAACAACAACAACAACAACAACAACAACAACAACAACAACAACAACAACAACAACAACGAAGCCAGTGTATTCCCATAAATAGGGTATGGGGAGGGTAGTGTGTACGCAGACCGTACCCCTACCTTATAAAGATAGAGAGGATGCTTCTAATATGAAAATAAGGCAACAATTAGCAAACAATAGTAACAACAATATATTAAGGTAACGGGTCAAATGACACAGCATGTAATAGTAAAGAATCATGAATAAGATAACACAAAATAGTCTTAGTACTACTGGTAAGCCTGGGAGGAACACACTACTATCTTTCAACCTACAACCCTAATCCTCGACCTCCATGTCTTTCTATCGTGGGTCAAATCCTCGGTAAGCTGGAGCAATGACATGTCCTGCCTAACTACCTCTCACTAATACTTTTTAGGCTTACCCCTTCCCTTTCTCAGACCCACAATGGACAACCTCTCACATTTCCTCACAGGAGCATCTATGTCTCTTTTGTTCACATGCTCGAACCATCTCAGCCTCGACTACCGCAACTTGTCCTCCACATATGCCACTCCTACCTTGTCCCTAATAACTTCATTCCCGATCCTGTTCTTCCTGGTATGCCCACACATCCATCTCAACATCCTCATTTTAGTTGCTTTCATCTTCTCGACATGGGACTTCTTGACGGGCCAGCACTCAGCCCCATACAACATAGTCGGTCTAACCACCACTTCGTAGAACTTGCCCTTAAGTTCCAGGTGGCACACTCTCATCGCACCAAACCTTGGAGATGAGCCTCCGCCTCATCCACCCCGCACCAATACGATGAGTAACATCCTCGTCGATCTCCCCGTTGCCTTAAATAATATACCCAAGATACTTAAAACTACCTCGTTTGGGGATGACTTGAGTACCAATCTTCATTTTCACTCCTTTTTCATGCATCCCATCACTGAACTTGCACCTCAAGTACTCAGTTTTTGACCTACTCAACTTAAAAACCTTAGACTCCAGCGTATGTCTCCAAACTTCCAACCTAGCGTTAACTCCGTTATGCGTGTCATCAAATAGGACTATGTCATCAGCGAATAACATACACCATGGCACCTCCCCTTGTATGTGTCGCGTCAGCACCTCTAACGCTAAGGCAAACAAAAACAGGCTAAGAGTCGATCTCTGATACAACCCCATCTCCACTGGAAAATGATTCGAGCTTACACCTGCAGTCCTCACTCGAGTCTTCGCTCCCTCGTACATGTCCTTAATCATCCTAATGTACGCCACTAGGACACCTCTAGCCTCCATACATCTCTATAAGACCTTTCTCGGGACTTTATCATATTTTCTAGGTCTATGAATACCATATGCAAATTCTTTTTGCTTTCCCTATATTGCTCCACTAATCTCATCGCAAGGTGAATAGCTTCTGTAGTAGACCTTCTCAACATAAATCCCAGCGCATTGCCCCTTGAAGTGCAGTATTTTACAAATCACTCCGACTTATAAGGTATTTCAGTATTTATTTATTTTATTATCTTACAAATTGGACAATGTAAATACTTGAAAACTTAAAATACCAAAATCGGAACTACTTTGAATTGAATTTATCAATTACAATCCATATTTGAGATGATAGGTAGATGATTATGATTACTATCAATACTAGGAGAACAGGATCAATGAAAGTATTAATGCCGGTTAACATGTTTGCTTCGTGCAGTTATGTTAAGCTTTAATAAGAAATATCGAGGGAATAACAAACACACGCACATCTATCTACTATTTACACTAAACTTAGGTTAATTTACTTGAGAAGAGCATTTGTCACAAGTTAACTTGAGGTAGTTTCATTTTAAATTCCACAGTTGATTGTAAAAGTTATTGCTAAATGAAATTTGATTTTGTTTTGTTTTAATAATTGAAATTTATTAAATTGAACGTATTTATGAAGGATATTTGAAAATTGTATAATTAGATGGAGTATAAAAACAAGTAAGTAAAACATTAAAAGATTCTTTCTTTCTTATTTCTTAACATTATGTTAAAATATACTATACAATTAACTAATATAATGGCTAAATTATTGAAATCTATAAAAATAAAATATACATCTAATTCATTTGTTGGTTGGGCCTGAAAATTAGAAAATTTGGGTCTAATTGGACCACGTCCCAAATGGCCCACATGAGAATTGGGTCGTAACGGGTCACAATAATAACCAATGATTCTCCTCTTTGCACGCACCAGACACTAGACAGGCACGATCAACAATTTGAGGGCCACTGGTTGTTTGTGCCCACTATTCCTCCGTCGTTGTGATTACCTTCCACCCTCTGAAGAAATTGGCAGCATATCCGTGTACATATTAAGGTACTTATTTCATTTATTTTCTCTTTTGTTTTTTGATATGTTAGATTGTAGTTATGCAATCCAATTCTGTCGAATTGATATTTGATACTGTATGCATTTTTATAGCTCATTCTTGTTGGTTGATTGATTCACGGTATAAAGCTTCTGCTAAGTTGGATTTTAGATATATTCAAAAGAATTTCTGTAGCCGCTGGTACACGGATTGCACTATACGTACTATTGCTGGAGAAAGGGATCTCCGTTTTCTTTATTGGGAGTGTGGTATCACTATATTGCATTGCTCTAAAAGAAAAAAGCTTCCTAATTTTAGCTTATTAACATTGTAATTCAAAGGTGATTCCGTTGTCCAGGAAAGACTAAATGAATAGGCATTACGGGAAGATCAGGTTATGACCGATTCTTCTACTCAACCCATTTTAAACTGCCCCAAATTTTTTGCCATATCCATTACATTTTCTAAGCTTAATCACCAAACGAATACGATGAGATAGATAGA